TCTATGAAAAAGTTAGAATAATCATTTACTTGGCCACAAAAAAATCCATAATAAATTTTAAAAGTGAAGATTTTACAAATCTAGAAAAAATGTAGGCTTTCCTAATAAAATACAAAATGGCCAAAATTAACTAGAGAACTAGTAGTAAATGTGAGTACACTAGTTACTGTTAATGATGCCAGGTCCAGAGGGTTTCATGGGAGGGAATTGTAGAAACCTTTAGGAGTCACCTCTGATATCACCTTCCTTCTCCAGGAAAGGTTCCTAGATCTGCCTCTCACCAACAAGATCCCAGGAGGGGAGCTTCTCCAACATGCCCACCACACCACTTTGCAGATGCACCTCCCACATCATGATGGATTTTCTGGCCAATTTCTTCTCCTGAACAGAGCTACCTGAGAGACAGGGACCCTGCCTTGCTTTTTATCACTTCTCAGTGCTCAGCACAGCACCTGACATTTACTAAAGTGAACATGGCAAGTGACAGAAAAGGATGTGCAGTCGTCAGTACACCGTGACGCCCCTATGGTGAGCTCCCCTGCACGGAAGCCTAGGAAAGCGGAATAAATAGAAAGAAACCAAAATGCTAATAGTGATTAGATTGAAATGTCCCCCATTACCCAAATATTTGTAATAAGGTTAAAGTATGTTTGTAGGGGAAAACAGTCATTTACACATTCAAACGGGCCAGGGGGCCTCTAGTTGTGCAGCAGGGAAGGAAGAAGGCTGGGGGATCTGGAGGCAGGGCCCCTTCTGCTACCTCTGCTTCCTCTCTCGGGCTGAGTTGGCCCAGTCCCCAGGACAGACACGGAGGCCCAGAGGGACCCCTGCCCCACTCACCTTCATGCCTCACAGGGGACCTCCAGCCTGAAGGAGAGGATACAGGGTGGACATGGATAGAAGGGTCCCGCATGCCTCATCTTGCCCTGGCAGCAGCTCTGGAAATCCCCTCAACACCAGAATCCTTCCTCAAATTGGAAGCAGAACCCCCAAATTTTAGCGAGAGCTCCCATGTCCCTGGGCCCATGGACCCCAGCCCTGGCAGTCCCATTTCCCCCTGACATCAACCAACAGCCACTGTCTCACTGTCTGCACCTCACCAGAAGATGTGCGGATATAGACCTGGGAGGGGCCAGAGAGAAAAAGTC